GTATTTAATATTTATTTTTTTCAGAAAAAATATTCGGACCGAAACCGGTCCGGATATTACTGGCGCGTCTATACTGTTGACTCCTGCCAGAAATATTTTTTGGTATTTAATATTTATTTTTTTCAAAAATAATATTCGAACCGAAACCAGTCCGAATATTATTGGCGCGCCTACACTGTTAACTCCCGCCAGAAATATTTTTTGGTATTTAATATTTATTTTTTTTCAGAAATAATATTCGGACCGAAAACGGTCTGAATATTATTGGCGCGTCTATACTGTGACGCCCGCCGGAAATATACAGACCGTTACCGGTCCGAATATGTTCATTGGTATATTCAGACCGATATTGGTTCGAATATTTAGTTTTTCGGACCGACAATATTCGGTCCGTATATGATCGGTCCGTATACGTCATTTTTCTAGTAGTGCAAGTTCATTGTGTGAAAGTTTCAAAACCGAAAGGAATGTCAGATTTGTCAATTGCTCTGGAATCCTGCCTTCAAGCTTGTTTGATGAAAGATCTAGTGATTCAAGTATTGTCATTTTCCCCAAGGATGATGGAATTCCACCAGTGAGACTGTTGTGAGACAAGTTCAGCAATACAAGTGAATTAAGTTCTCCCAGTTCTTCAAGAATCTGCCCATGGAATCTATTGCTTAAGAAATCAATGGTTGTGAAACTTTTGAAGATTCTTACGAGTGTCACCTCTAAGCCTTTCATTATTATCGTTAGAGAATCCATATAATAAATATTAGTATCAACAATGTATTCCCATATGGCTTTATCAGCTCCAGTTACATCTCTCATAGTTGTCAAATTTTTGAAATGGTTACTTGGTAGGAGACCCGTGAAATCATTCTGCGAGACATCAATGATTCTCAATTGAGAGAAGTAAAATGTAGGCATAGAATTGCTAATGGCACCATGAAATAGATTAGATCGAAGGATGAGAACTCGTAGCCTTGGAAGAACACCTAACCATTGTGGAAAGCTGTCATTCAAGTTGTTGTTCCCCACATCTAGAACTTCCAACTGGTTGCAACTAACCAAAGATGATGGCAGTCTCCCTTTCAACTGGTTGCCATTTAGCTCGAGAGTTCTCAAGAAACTGTTGTTTACAAATGAATTTGGGATTCTACCATGAAACTTATTCATCCCCAGATCCAAGATGGAGAGATCACTCAAGTTTCCAAGGCATTCTGGAATTTTCCCTCCCAAACTATTATTAGCTAAGAATAGAACTCTAAGAGAAGTCAAATTGCAATAAGAAGAAGGGATTTCACCAGTCAAATTATTCCCTAAAACAAGGAGTCCACGCATAAAATCCCGAGTTGTTGATAAAATGGGAAGTGATCCTTGTAGTAAGTTGGATCTCAGGTCAACAGTTTCAAGATATCCAAAACCAAATAAATCTATACCAGTCAAAAAGTTATAAGAAAGGTCTAAACTACTCAATGACATCCCTTCTACTTCCCATTTGTGAATTTGACTAGAAATCTTGTTCTTGGAAATATCCAATTCTTGCAAATTCTCTGCCTTCCTTAAGAAACTTGGGAACTTGTGAATATTGCAAGAAGAGAATCTTAAAGACTGAAGTTTTGGAAAGGAATAGTTGACAGCAGTGCCATTATGGCTCAAAGACAGCAAACTATTATTGGAAAGATCAAGATCCTCAACGTCTAGCTTCAAAAGCATGTTGGGTGTAATAGTGCCACTTAAATTATTTGAAGAAAGGTCGATTATCCTAAGATTCACAAGATGAAAAAAAAAAGCTAGGGATTGGACCACTTATCTGATTATAGGACAAATAGACTTCTTGTAAAATAAGATTAGGCATCTCAACATGATCAATAGGTTCGGTAAGTTTGTTGTTTTGGAGGTCTAAATAGGATAAAGAAGGCAGAGAAAACAACCAAGATGGTACTCGACCTAATAGCTCATTTGATGACAGTGACAAAAAAGTAAGATGGGTGAGGTTGGAGATTGATGCAGGAATTTCACCACCAAAACTGTTATTAGAAAAGCTCAAATGAGTTAGCTTGTGCATTTTTCCAATAACATCTGGAATCTGTCCTTCCAAAAGGTTAGAAGAAAAATCTAGGTAAGTTATCTCTGTAATATTTGCAATAGATTTAGGAATTTATCCATAAAATTGGCAGCCATGAGGGCTCAATTCCTTTAGGAGTTTGAAATTTTTGATTGAATGAGACAACTCTCTCGAGAAGCTTGTGCTTTCCAGATACAAGTACTTGAGGGTACTATTCCAGTTTGACTAGGGCAAATTACCTCTTAAATAATAATTGTAACTTAAATCAAGAAGCTGGAGAGATGGAAACTGAAAAACTTGGCTTGGAAAGTTTCCTTGCAAATTACAAGAGCTAAGGCTCAAATGCTCGAAGGAAGAAGCCAAGTTTAGCAAGGAAGAAGGCACAACTAGAGACATATTCACAGAATCAAGGATAAGAAATCTTAATTCTGTTAAGTTATGCACAAGCATTTGAAACTTTATGTTGTCCAGAAACAAACCATAATTATCAGAGAGATCTAGCGAAACCAATTTCGGTAGCAAAAAGATCTCATCAAACAGCAGAGAGCCATCCATGTATCCTGTATCTGCAAGGTTAAAGATTTGTCACATTAGAAGAAGTGAAACGAGTTTTGGAAGCATGGAGATTTTAAATAAAAGAAAGAGAAATGAAATCTCGTACGTGAAAGATTAAGATATGTCAAACTCTTCCAACGGTCAAACCCAAATGAAATGTTAGGATAATGAAAATAATTGTGAGAAAGGTTCAGACTTTGCAATTTCTCAAGGCGGAAGAGACTACTATTTGTGGTTAGATTGGCTTCAAGACAATTACTGCTAAGATCAAGGCCAATCACGTGACCTTTCATGTTATCGCATGTGATGCCCTCCCACAAGCAGCAGTCTTTACTCTCGTTCCAAGTTTGTATTATATCACTACTAATAGGACAGTATTTCAGCCACTTAGTAGTGTTTTTGAAATCAAGCAATGCAGAATGCTCTTCAGGACGGCACAAATGTGGTGGTGAATCGGGAGAAGATTGAGAAGGTGAGGAGCTTTGGACTCGAAACTGTAACAACATGAAGGAGAGGCAAAGGATTTGGGAAAACCATATTAACCTTCCCATTTTCTTAAAGATGAACACAAGTCGGGAAACAAAGGAGTGATGGATTATTCAAATTGTAGGGCTAGACACAGGAATTTATAGCCCTCCCAAAAGTGAAAGTCCTTCAGCATTTTTCCGAGTTACAGTATAAATTTCTTTAGCGCGGTCAAATTTTTCTTTATATTTTTATAAAAAAAAATAGAATTCACACAACTAAATTCTCTTTTATAGTTTAATAAAACTGCGCTAATCCTTATGAATAACTGGAAGCACGAATTCATACTTTAATAATAACTAAAATTTAAATGAGGTATTATTATTATATTGTAATTTTTTCCTTACTTTTAAATTGTACTTATTTAAAAAAATTGTTTTTAATAGTGCACATAATTAAACTTTTTTTGAGTTGTTAATACACATAATTAAACTTGAAGTGAGGAATATAGATTGATATAATATGCGTATTAGAAGATTTAGTCAAAGTAACTTCATATATGTATATATGCTTTTAAGAACAACGAACAACTTTCTTCTTTCTTCTATTAAAAAGAGAAAAAAAATTGTATGACAGAATTGATGGAAGGAATAAAGAGATCAAATGGTATGATGATTGATCTTATTATTAAAATAAGAAAGAAGATAATCAAATCATAAAATGAATGGTCCGATTATAATGGGAAGAAATATCACTCTATTATGTAGATTGGTTAATTAAAGAAAAATTAATTTACTAATAATTAATTTTAAAATTTTAAAATTGATTATTATTTTATTAAAAGAAAATTTTTACAAAACGTTACTAAAAGAAGTGGTACTTATTTGATGACGTGGCATCTCATTTGGCTGCGACTCATTTCTATCACTCAAAAGGTAAGGCCTCCCT